TACAGGTATGGCGTCGCCATTTGTGTCTTACTAACGAAAGGGGCCAATACAAACATGGACAAAGGAACCGACACCACGGTATCCTAAAAAAGGAAGTGTCAGCACAAAGCACTCAAAGTCAACGCGAAAGTACCTAAATATGCTCGTTTAGTGCATCGGAACTCGAATTCCTGGTTTTCTTGTTGGCGCCGCCATTTTGGCACTTGATGCATAGCGGACGCAATTTTCATTCGTTACAATTTAAAAGTGCGACTTTCCGAGCTTTGAGTACAGGGTCAGAAGACTCAGGCGATATCGTTTTGCTTTGTCACGATCTGTTGTAAACCGTTTCATAGAAAATCGTTTCCTGCGAATTTAGCGGAGAAATCTTCATATAAATGGCAACGATTATTTTAATCACCGAGATGGAGAACGTGACTTGACTCGGAAGCCCAGCCGACACATCATGCCGCGTGCGCTTGCAGATAACTGTACAGCAGGCTCGCAATTCAACATGATCGCCTAACTGAGGAGAGATCTAAAAACAACCAGAGTCTTCATTTTCTGAGAAAGTGTTCTTGAGCCGCGTGTCGGATCTCCAGCATGAACTAGTGTCCCGATGCCTGGAACGCAGACCGATTTCTCGCCATCTAATTTGCTTTGCCTTCACTGGTCGCAGCTTCGTTCGTTATCAGTCAAACACTCCCAACCAAAATTATTACCCAAGTGAAGGGTAGCGCCTTTACACACATCCTAAGTATGAAAGAGTGACTAAGTTCGCCTACTCAACTAGCGCAGAAATCTATCTCGTCTGGCATTTCCGGTTTGAGGACGAAGCAAAAGCTTGTTTTCAGCCCGATTCAGCTCATCAAAAAGTCATGGTGGCTGCTTCGACTTTTCCGCTGGACCCAACAAGGAAAAACCATACGGATATGATCGTAGTGCCAGCATTGTTGGGGCCCCGTTGTGGGCGTGAGTCGCGAGACAGCCTGCTGCTTTATTTCTGCTAAGACCCGCGTAGAACGGCACACCGTGAAAACAGCATATTGACGTTAAAAAAAAGCAAAGATATATTTTGCTTAAAGACGTCTTTTGTAAGGAAGGGCATTTTCCCTCATTAAAACAAAAATAGTGCGCACTGACCTTTACCCGCTTTTAATGCACACCAACGCAACGTACCCCCCACCCTTCGTGTCCTGCGTATACCCCGAAAAAAGTGTTTTTTTCTTTCTTCAAGAGGGATGGAATATCCGGAATGCTGTCCAACGGGTAGCACAAAGCTCCCAGCGTGTTAAGGTAACTGTGTGTGCGTGTATATGTATGTATGTATGTATGTATGTATGTATGTATGTATGTATGTATGTATGTATGTATGTATGTATGTATGTATGTGTGTATGTATGTATGTATGTATGTATGTATGTATGCATGCATGCACGTATGTATGTATGTATGCATGCATGCATGTATGCATGTATGTATGTATGTACGTATGTGTGTATGTGTGTATGTATGTACGCATTTATGCATGTATGTATGTATGTACAAATTTTTAATCTCAACTTACTTCTGGCAGTTTCTATAGGTCAATGTGACTCCTCCTTACATATAATTTTTGTTTGTTCTTTTTACAACCCCTCTTTTTCTTGGGCGAGATATTTTGAGGCATTTTTCTCTGAACGCCGCCATTTTAACTTTATTGTTATTCCTGCTCCTCATCGCAGTGCAAAATTGTTTTATGCTTATGCGTTTAATAGAGTCTCCAAGATGTTAAAAACCTATGACAGCATGGTCTATAAGCATTGTATCGCCACGTGAATCGCTGAGGTCACTTTTTTACAAAACGAATAAGGTAACTATGACCGTTCTAGTAGAATTAATTTTTTTTCGTCCTGGGAAATAAGGGGAATGCAAGAGCGTCAACTTTGACAGTGTTACTGTTGAGCACGTGATGACTGCAGGGTTTTGCCTTGTTATCTACAGACACAAAAAAAAGCTTGTCATTCGAAACTGATGATATGTCACCAAGATCACAATCAGTCAATAAATAGAGCATGTACCAAGAAAAAAAAATTACAAATATTTCTTTTTTCACCGCAAAACTAAGTTACACATTGCCCCACGTTCATTCTACGCCCAAATGTAGCGCTATCAGTCAGAACCAAATGCAAAAGTTTCATCACTAACCGTTATCTCGTTCAAAAGTTATAGAAGGTTTTCCGCAATTTTCAATAAAAAAAATTTAGCCAGTTTTTATTTGTTTTTTTTCCGTTTTCGCCTGCTATTCGCTCGTTTTTGGCAACTAGTGCCTTTGAGATTCATGTACTTGAGAGCTCCATTGGCAGCCATTTTCTCATTAAAAATTCCAAAAAATCGCTTATGACCTTGGAACAGGATAGCGGTTAATTGTGAAACTTTAGCATCTAGCTCAGACAGCTAGGACTACATTTGAGCGAAGAATGATCGTTTGCGTTGCGTTAAAAACAACACTGTAAAGTTCTCTTTTCTTTGTTGGCGTGTATTTTGGGGAAAGGGGGGGGGGGAGAATGTATGCATAGCTTGCATCAACACTACTTCAACGTCCATTGCGGCGTCCTTGCTGCGGAGCGCGTACCTTCCGCAGTCAACTTACCTCACCAACAAATTTGTTGCTTCTTTGCAAGAATAAGTAGAAATGACAACTAGCATGGTGCAATGACGTCACGTACGAGCCATGCGCAAGTTTAACAGCTGAGGCAAATCCCGCACGTGCAATCCCGGATATACGCCACTGAAACATTTCGCCGCTATAATGAAGGACGCTATAGTAAAGGGTGACTAATGAATGCGTCAATTGTCGAAACATAACCCATAGAGTAGCAGAAATAAAAAAAAATGCAGTCCTGTGTTCATCCACAGTACACTTGAAGCGATAGCTGCGACACGTCACGGCGAAGTCGGTCGGCATCGGCGTCGCGTTCACGCACCGAGGCGTGTATGAACAAAAAAGCTTTTGGAACAAAATAAACATCTGTTGTGTTCTGGACGATTTTGCTTTGTTCCGTTTTCTTCCGAACGCTTTTGTTTCTCTTTGTTCCAGAGCGCGTGATAGCGCGTCTTTTTGCTCGAGCTTTTGGCAGTGACAGTGCTACGACGGCATTTTGTTATATGCTATATTTTTTTCAGAGAGCGCGTGCAGTGGGAATTAGGTACTACAAACACCCAAAGCATTGGGCAGGAGATCGAACTGTAGGGGGCACTTTATCGAGCTTGTCGTCTCCACAGTCCGGTGTTTGCTAACACAGCATGAAAAAGAAATTGAGCATCGCCTAGCGCGGTCTGGGTAGGAGCGCTTCGCTTTGACCAGTGCTTTGGTCGCACGGGGAGCGGCCTTCAAGTTGTCATCTTCGATATCGGTGATCAAAAACAAACAAAGCAATTCGCTTTGTTGTCCTCACAGCTGGAGCGTTCCAATAGAGGCGTGACTGTTCGATCCCCTCCCCAATAGAGCGGGTTGTTAGCGCGGTGGCATAGTTCAGTGAAAAAAAAATGTTTGTGGCGTAGTTCAGTCGTAACGCCTCCGCTTCGCTCGCAACAGGACACAGGTTCGATTCCCACGGGCGACGGGCGATCTTTCTTGAGGATTTGGCAACATCGACGACGGATGCCCTACATCGACGACTACACCATCAACAACGACAACAACTACGAAAACATGAAGAACGGACGTCACTTTTATTAGTGGGAAGAGCCCATAACGGCGATTGTTGTAAAAGATATGTTGGCACCTTATATCTGGTTTTATCCATCAAACCTTTTTGTAAATGACGTTGACGAAAGTCAACATCAAGAGAAGTGTGCTTCCCCGCATTAAGACCCCCGTTGAGGAGAAACTCGCTTTAGGGAACTAAATACCGCCGTTTCTCCTCTTATAGGTATGTCTGTTGAAGAACGTGCCTCATTAAAAACAAATAATTACATGGCCATTAGAAGGCGAATATATGTCCAATGACCAAATGATTATCAAACTACGAGGTACAAGGTCCTACGAGGACTTGTAGTCTTACGGAGATTGCGGGTCAGAGCTCGCAGTTGCTTGTAGATTAATTTGATTTCTGCTTTCGCTGCACGAGCTACGAGGCAGGATCACCCTCAACGATCTGACTACGCGCTCGCAGCTTTTGTTGTGCTCTAAGCTAAGAAAGAGCCGTCAAGCAACTTACGTGACGCTTAATATTATTCCCACTGACGTCTGGTCATTTGTTGAAGGAGGGCAAAGCTGGAGAGCCTTGGCGAAGAAGCGAAATTCTGTCCCATTTTCCTCAAGAAATACTCTCTTCTTACATCACCAGTAGGGAAACACTGACATTAAATGATAACACTAGACTTAAATTGTCAAAGAAATAGAACGGCCCTACTTCCTGTATTGGCCTGGCAGATGCTGTGACGTGTGCTTGTCGAGCCCAGCCAACGTTCATTAAGCACTTTACACAGACAACCGTTTTGCAGGCACATCACTCTGGACAGCAAAACGCCATGTGGTTTCGCAGTAGTATTGGGCTTAACAGCCGCGGAAGCTACGTTAGCTTTCACAAGGTAGCAGAAAATAGCCGACGTCGAGTATAATGACTTTCGAAAGTGCAGGTTTGAATGCTTAAATACAATATGCGGGAATTCAATCTCTCATGAATGTGTGGACTTTTGTCTGGGCTGCAAAGGAATCATACGCACCGCGCAGCGCAATCGCAAACTTAAGCTTTTTACGAACATCGCGGTAGTAGTGATTACGCGAGTGCGAGAGTTTTTCCGGCGTTTAGATACTCCCGGCTCTGTGCGTAGCTCGCCACTAAAACGCCACGCGCTGCTGTGCTTTTATTCGGAGCGAGCGCTCACAAAAAATGGCGCCACATCGCGTCGCCTCCGTCGTCTGCGTCGTCTTTACCTCCCTTCCGCGCACGCGCAGGAGCGACAGCAGCGTTGGGTCGACAGTGGCGCCGCCGTTGCCTACTTCGTACAAAGCCGGAGGTTGTTGTAGGAGCCGCACCAGTAGCCACCGGGTTGCACCTTCGCCTTCTCCCTATTTTTCCCTCAAAATAGGGAAAGATACTCCCCATTCGCGCGACGCCGCCGCCGCCGCCATGCTGCTCGCCGGCTCGCTTCTATGCGGCGGCGTGCCTGGGTCGACGCCAATGTCTCGTCGTCTGCAGCAGCGCTCGCCGCGTTTCCCGGCAGTAGGCAACGACCACTTGTGCGCCCATGCATCATCGCCTACGTTGCCGGAGTCGTCGTTCTTCCTGTTTAGGTTGCCGCTCTGCACCGAGAAGCAGTAGGCGAGGATAACCCGCCCGTGAGAAAAGGAAAGAGGGAAAAAGAAGGAAACGTACGAGGGAGGGAACCGATAATCTCTTTCCCCTTCTTTCCCCATTTTTGTTAGCAGCGGTTTGGGACGGAGAGTGGTAGACACGTCTGCCGTGCTCCACCGCGGCTTCTACAAAACACTAAGATCTTCTTCTGGCTGGTGCGCTCTTTCAGGGTTAGTGAATTTTACCGTGGTTCGTGGAGTGACAGTAACGTGTCGTGGTCGGTGGTGAGGCATTCATATTTTTCTTCGCGTTGTTTCGTACTCCGTCTTAGAATCAATTTGTTATGGGGATCGTTTGTTTCTGCGCTTTTTCCTCGCGCGGCGGCGTGTTCTGGAGAACGGCGCTGGCTGATAAATATTGAGCAAGGAGGCAAGCTCGAATAGGGACCCGCCTTCTAGTGGTGCTTTGTGCGATCATCGTGCTTTTCCTTCCGTGACGACTGAAGTGTGCGCCGGTGAGAGTGTGAGTGTGTATATCGACAACGAAGCAAGCGCTCGAGTGTTTCGAGGATTGTTTGGATCGGTCGGAGCTCCGGGCGAGCGTCTGCGTTCACGGGGATTTTCAAGAGAGTCGATTTCAGGCTGCGGTGGATCGCTCTCGACACCTCGGTGAGTTTGTGTTTTTTATTGTTTTGTTATTTCTCGTTTCTTAACGCATAAACGACTGTACATGGCCTCTCTCTTTTTACTATGTCAATTACTGACGTTTTCTATTTCACTTTTTCTCGTTGGGTGGTCGTTGTAACAATGCTGAATGGTTGTTATGCATGCCACGCTTTAGAGGTTGCACGTAGGTCATTTTGTGTTATGTGAGGTTTTGTTCTAGTCGGTCCGCGTTCTCAATATAGTGCGCGTAGATTTTGTGTTATAACGCGTTTTTGTGCTCGTAGTTTTTGCAATATGACACATTTTTTCTTTAGCGTTAGCCGGATTAAAAAGTTGGCTTTTTATAGAGTGTTCATAGCTATATATGTATATATATGTTGTTTTTTTTTTTTTTTTGAAACGCAAGGATATTTTGCGCGGCCTATATAAGCATAATCTAAAAAAGAGAAACATAACGTGTATTTATTTTACTTCAACACAAACGTTCAATTTGAGGAAGAGAAAAAAAGAGAGGGAGAGAAAGAAAGAGGCGGAAATCAAAAACCTTAAATCCCGAAGTAAAATGATTTTTTTTTTTAAAGAGGAAGGAAAAAAGTATATAATAAAATAATAATAGTTTTTATAAACTAAAAATATCAACCAAAAAGCGTTCTTTGTTGAAACTAATAAAAAATAATGATAATCGTGATAAGTTACCTAACAGACAATGAATGCAATCAGAACAAAATTTGAATAACCAAGATAGAAAAGATACGTGTTAGCGAACATCGTCGCTATAAAAGGCCGTTGCGACGACTAAAAAAAAATAACAACAAGAAAAAAACAAGCCGACACAAATGTATCAGGATTACTGCGGCTGCCAGCTTACAAAAACTCCAAATCCGCAACAACAACAACAGCAAATTATGCAGTGTGTTTACTTATCCAAGGAGCAGACTGAAGCGTACGGTTACTATTTACGTTGGAGGCTAACATTAAATCCTAAAAACTGCTGCCGGCGGTGACGTAGTGAGCATTGACGTTAACGTGCTCGGCATTCCACAGTTTACGTTCCCCATTTCGTGTCCCTCTATCGTATCGATGCTTCTCCAACCGCTCTTGTTTTTCGCCTCCCGTGATTCCCAAAAGACGTGCGTGCGCTCTATGGGGAAACACACATGCGGGTGCTTTGTTCCTAAAGGGGATGGGGGTAAATCTGGACACTAAAAATGAACGAAAAATATCCCGTTGCATGGGAAGACAAACAAACGCACTTTTCCTTCGCGTAACAGGCTAAGTAGTATTAAAAAAAAAAAAGTTGTTTCGAATAAATGGCAAAACCAGCAGAAACCAAGAGTTTTTGTGGTATAAGAATAGTCCTTATTTGTTAACGCAAAATGCACCGTTGGTGGAACACAGAGGAATAAAAGATGTTATCGTTACTTTAGCTCGGCTCAATCCTTCGAAATGCAATAAGAACAGTAATGCGCGCATGAAATAAACTCCCACAAAGAAAGCAAGTTCAAAAATATTTGAAATCATGACTCAGGATCCTGGTCAACACGTCTTAATATTATAATTATATTATGTTACTGGCGTACTCTGGAAGGTCTTACGAGAAACGCTGTAACACGTAGAGTAAATTTAAGGACGCACAAAGAGGATCAAATGAATTACTAAACACACTGCATAACATTGAATTTTGTTTTAGTACTTTCGCTCGACGCATTTCATAATGTTTTTTTCATTGAGTTTTACGCTCAGTTTACCATGGGTCTTTTGTTATAATTTCGTTCTTAAACTAAATCTAATTACAGCTTCGGGAGATATCGCTTCAACTCATCGCAGAGTTTGCCTTCTCTTTCTTAGTTTTTAGTGCTTTCTTTAGTTTTCTCGAGTAAATACGGGCACGTGTTTTCTTCTCTCTATTTTTTCTGGATTTTCTTTTTGATTTCGCTGAACTACAACCAAGCATGAAGTACTAAAGTCAAGAATTGACCCGTGCAGCGGACCATAATGCGGCATTTTGATGAGGGTGAACTGTTTTACACTGCACTGAGTGCATTGTTTTACATTCATAGGTATACGGGCGTGAGTGCGCGCGTATACCTATGATATATATATATATATGGTGTCACAAAACATAATTTACACGGTCTTTTTTACCGCAACCATAAACTAGGCATCGCCGAACGCTCATTCTCCACCCAAATGTAGAGCTAGAGGTCACAACCAGATGCCAAAGTTTCAGCCCGATTCAATAATTTAATCAAAATTTATGTGATTTTTTGAAAATTTCAATGAAAAAATGGCGGTCGACGGAGTTTCTAAACACATGGGGCTCTATGACACCAGAAACCGAAAACGGGCAAAAAATGGACTTCATTTTCCCATTGAAAATTTCGGAAAATCAGTTATAACTTTTGATTAAGTTATCGGATAGGGCTGAAACTTTGGCATTTGGTTGCGACCTCTAGCTCTGCCTTTGGGCGGAGAATGAGCGTTCGTCGATGCCTTCATTATTTTTTCGGTAAAAAAGACCGTGTAAATTATGTTTTGTGACACCCTGTATATATATATATATATATATATATATATATATATATATATTATCATATGACCGATTATATAAAGAATATAATCGGTCATATGATGAGAAACAACTTGCTGATTAATGAACAACATGGTTTTCGTAAGGGGTTTTCATGTACTACGCAACTTGTTGAATTTTACCATGACCTTGCATCTGATGTCGATGAGGGAGGGCAAATAGATTGTATATTCTTGGATTTTAGAAAAGCGTTTGACACGGTCTCACACTCACTTCTTCTCAACAAACTAAGAATGTTAAATCTAGACTCGGCTGTGCTTAGATGGATAGAAAATTACTTGTTCCAGCGTCGTCAATGTGTAGTACTGAATGGCAAGAAATCTGATTACGTTGATGTAACATCAGGCGTTCCACAGTGCTCTTTCCTGGGTCCACTTTTGTTTTTAATTTATATTAATGATATTTCTGTTGGAATTTCCTCTTGTATTCGACTTTTTGCTGATGATTGTGTAGTGTATAGAAAGATTAAGAGTTCAGATGATGTCGCCCAGTTGCAAGCAGACCTTGATCGTATTCAAAGTTGGTGCTCTACGTGGAAAATGAATTTAAATCACAAAAAGTGTGTTAACCTTTGTTTTACAAAGAAAAGGAAACAAATTGAATCTCAGTATTTTATAAATAATAACCCTATAACCAAGGAACTTACTTACAAATACTTGGGTGTCATATTGTCATCTGACTGTTCATGGAATGCCCACATAGAGGAAGTAGTCTTAAAAGCTGGCAGGGCAATGAATTTTATCCAACGTAACTTAAAATGCTCACAACCTAACTTAAAGACAACTGCTTATTTAACATGTGTTAGACCCATTTTAGAGTATGCATGTGCTGTCTGGGATCCAGCCCAAAAAACGTTGATAGATAAGCTGGAGAAAATACAAAACAGGGCGGCTAGGTTTGTTCTTGGACGATACGGGAGGAAAGAAAGTTGTGCAGAAATGAAAAAAATGTTAAACTGGGAACCACTTTCCGTACGTCGGGAAAAACTGCGACTAAAATTTTTATACTCAATAGTTAAAAATAAAACGGGAATAAATAGCGAGACTTACTTAAAAGAACCCTATTATGTTTCTAGTCGTAATGATCATAGTCTTAAAATTAGAGAGTACCGCGCTAGGACATGCATGTTTGCAAACTCCTTTTTTGTACGAACAATTGCACAGTGGAATCGGCTGTCTGAAGAGCAAGTGTGCTGTTTCAATGAAGACGTGTTCTTTTCATCCTTGTAACCCCCCCTGCTGTAACGCCCTCGGGCACTGCGGGGTAATCATTGAATAAAAAAAAAAAATATATATATATATATATATATATATATATATATATTGGTGTGCGTGTGAGTGTGGTAGCATATCTGTGCGTTTGAGTGCGTGTTTTCGAGATCGCATTGCTGTGAATATGCCTGTTTGTGTGTTTCTCTATTTTCTATGAATGTGTTACGTGCGTTTTTGGGTTAGCGTGACCTCGGTTAATCCAGCGTCTTGTTTTGAGCCTATCTGCTTTACATCCTACAGTATACGTTGGGTCATTAAATGAATGAATATAAATCTGATAATTGTCTATGGGCAATACAATTTCGCTGATTCACCGTTTCTGTTTGTTTACACTTTCCCAATTTTCTAGCACCCGCGGTTTTATTTTTAGAAACGTATATTTTTATTTGAAAAGAAGTGTTTCTAATCTAAACAAAATGTTTATTCTTTTGTTTCTTCTATCAAAAGTATCACTGACTTATAAAAAAATGCGTAGTACTGTCTGGGGATAATAAGGTGTTCAACAACTCGAAGAAAAAGATATATCATGTCGCCGTTTATCTCGGAAACCAGATGCCTTTCTACGTTCTCTCAAATGGGACATGAACTAATTGGGCACAAACAGTTTAATAAATTCAAAATAAATGCATTAAAAATTAATTTTTAGTTCTTTGAAAACACGCTCGAGTCCCTTAAAGTCTTCTATCTTCAAAGTTTCGAGAATCTGTTCCCCAGCCTTCAGTCCTATGCGCCGAGGAACTGAGAAAGAAGAGGAGACGAGAGCGCGCATGGGCGTCAGAAGGCCAAGATCTGATTGGTTAGATTAGTGGGTAGACCCGAAGCTATAGCTTAGCTGCCTTTGTCTCCACCGCACTCGCCAAACGCGTTTGAATGCGAAAGTGGAACGCCGGGCGCCGGCGTTACGCTTTCTAACGTATTCGACGAGTGCATCGGGTACAAAGACTACTAGCTTTAGGTCTACCCACTAATCTATCCAATCAGAGCTTGGCCTTCTGACGCCCCCCCGCGCGCTCTAGAAATTTTTTTACGAACAGATTTTCTTTTTAGAGTGTAGAGCTTAAAAGTGCCTCACGAACGCATGATTGCGTTTAGGGGCCTTCCGCAGTATCACTAGAAAAAACATATACATCGCCAACTACGAA